GTATTACACGGGTATCCTTTCTTGCTTGATAACTTAGGCATGAGAGGAAACCGCCAGATGGGAGCCGTAGATTTTACTTGACTAGAACTGGATTTTATTCATCGGATATAGGTTTATAGCATAAACTACAATAACAACCTCCAGAACAAATTTCGGTCACGGCGGCCATTCTCAACGGACACCAGCCATCTGCGCAGGACTTTATTTTACTTTACTTAAAACACTTAAAAATCAAATTTACCGGGAAATTGAACTTGTCAAAAAAGTCAAGACAAAAACTTCAGAAAAAGTCAAGACACAGAAACGGCGGAAAAATCAATGTATTTTAATCGAATGTATGTATTTACCTTGATATTTGAATGATGTACTACATATATGTATTCACTTTAAAAATGTGAACTTACTTGTCAAACCGGCTCATTATTCCGAGAGTCAAGGACGTGAATCCATGAAGATTGTCCGCGCTCGGTCAACGAAACAGAATTGTCCCACGGTTTTTGTGGCGGCGGACACACAGGATGTTGTAAGTGAAAGCCACGTCCCGCTGGCGTTTCCACAAAAATTGTATGTCAGTAGAGTGACGTTAATGTAAATATTGGTATTCACTCGCTCCGTAACGAATATTTTAAATATTTCGGCTTCAGTATTGATGATAACAAGCGCTTACTATATTTTATTTACGTGCAAATTTTTGGATCTAAATTCAACACAAGTTGAGGGAAAAACACCAATTATTGTTGGTTTTTAAACAAGAACTATACGGATGAGTTACTCTTCTTTGGATCGTAGTCTTCCTGCAGAAGCATTACATTTTTAGAGTTTCTTGCTACTTCTTGCCTATAGACTGAAACATATTAATAACATTCACATTATAAACTGCCTATGGACTGGTTTACCGGTCGAAATCGCGACCATTGATCATTAGGTTTCCTGGGCTTATATCCCGGGTTGGACCAAAATAAGCTATTGCTTTTTTTTTTCAAGACACTCTTAGTAGCAGCCCGGAGTCAGGAAGTTGATGCGTGTCACCCCGTGCCTCGGTAAGCACATAAAGCCGTTGGTTCCGTGTCTGGTCTGCATCCAGTTGTGTCGGCTTGCCGTCCAATGAGGAATAAGGACTATGAGGGTAAAGAAATAAAGAGTGAAGCTGCGCTCACGCACACAATTGTGCACTATAATTATGTTCTGCGCAGATGAAAACTTTCCATTGAGAGCAGCCACCGTGACAGAAATTGGTCTGAAGGTTACCATCATTAATTTTTTATAGAACTTTATATCAATCTGCCACGCAAAAACATAAATTAGAATGTTCTATACATCAATCAAACCCTCAATAAATTCCCTCGTGTTCCCTAGAAATGTCTCAAGGTAATCGACTATTCTAAGAGCGAGGAATTTCCAACCACAATTCATTTGAAATATTTGTGTTATAAGTTCCAATTTAGAAATATATATTGCACATCATATAATATATGATTTATTTGATAAATATGTATACTTAATGAATTATTTAATAAAGACATGAATATGAGAACATTGAGATCTATTATAAATTGTTAAACACTGGCTGGCACTGGTTTAACTACTGTCTCATCTGATGGTTAGCGGTGAAGTGTCTGCCGAAAATGGTAAAGTTCACTAACATAGCTTAACAAAAACATAGTACTCTTTTACTGTACATATTATGAATGACGAACCAAACCGTTTAGTTTTAATGGAGAAAAGTCGAGCGTCTGGTAGTTCAGTAATGGAACGAAGAACAAAACAATTGAAAGCAAAACCGATTAAATATTATAATTGATATTCAACGCCGCTGCCCGTTGCCGGTTTGGGTATTATAAACCTAGTTTGAAGAAACAGTATAACCATAATCAGGTGGAGGCCGTGACGTCTTTCCGGATCTCACATAACAAATAATTACATTGGCTAAATAAAACTATGTATACGGGATTCTATCGCATTTAATTTACTTATTTAAACTTATTTTTAATTCCCGACGTTTCGAGTACTTTACAGCACTCATGGTCGCGGGGGGGGGGGACTGAGATGTGAGAGAGACCCCATGAACATGGGTAGTAATTTAATAATAACTAAAAAATGGTAGTAAATGAAACGCGATAGAATCCGTATATATAGATTTATCAATGCATAGTGTTCGCGTAAATTCAAGAAACCATCTTTGATAAAGATTTTTTTAAAACATGTATGTATCAAAAGAGTTCATAATCAACCTGATTGTCGCACTTAAAACGCTATTCACATTTTTAATACTCCCCTACTCCCGGTAGACCTAATATGCTTGTATTAATACTTGTCCACCACAGTAGTAGAATGGTGGATTCAAACCCATGACTCCAATTTTCCACTTCGCACCCTTAACCATCAGTCATTATTAGTCTGCTGTCGCTTAGTATAGCTACCTTCCAAAACTTTCAAATTACATGAGGAAATGCATGGCTGGCCACAACCGCATGTCATCCCGCGGGTGTCGCAAGAGGCCACGGAACAAGCAGGAGCCCATCTTCTCTTTCAGCAGCATCTCCCAAATAACAGCACAATAATTAAAAAATATCCCCCTAATGAGGCGACACATGGGACGGACTTTTGAAGGGCGTTAATGAATGCATGATTTATGAAAGAGGCTTACGATACGATACGACGTACGATCACAAAACCAATTTTTGTTTCACATACAACAGCCATTTCACACTAATATGATTGTCTTAAATTGAGAACTATTCAGGCAGTCCACTTAAATGCATTTGAAACCAGTTCCTGACTATCTCCGACTAACCATTCCTGCATAGATATAACTAGTTACCTGTCGAATACCGTTACCTAAGCCGTGCTATCTACCTGTTTTATCATATATATACTTCACACTTAACTATATAAAACTAGTATATTCCTTCTGTCTAACAAATTGACGGCTTCGTGAAGCAGTAGCTTAGCAATGAGTTGGGGAGCTGAGGACCGCAGATTCGAATCCCGCACGGAATAAGTATGTACATGACCTACAAATAATTATTTTAGATCTGAATGCTTATACATGTGACTTGTGCACTTCCATCTACTATGTAAACGAGACCCACAATAGAGGAGAGAATTCTAGTGTGAGAAAATTTAAACAAATTATATTGTTATATGACATTCCACAATGTGTTATATCATATCATAATGTAATAATTATATAATTTTAAAATTGTAGGCCGACTACAAATTAAATATTAGTATTAGTTATATTCTCCGTTATATTGCTGTGTTATCCATTTTATTACATACAAAGTGTATGTTAAGGGTCAGCGCACACAGAGGCGCGACGCGACGCAAAGATGCTTGAAGAGGCCAGTGGTTTCGCACCGCGCAGCGTACCGCTGCACGACGCATCGTGAAGTCGCTGACAACGCGATACCTTATGGTAATAGTAGAAACAAGTCGTCACAACGGCCTCGGGCTACGCTCGCTGCGTCACGCGGCTTCACGCTTCACCGCGAAACATCTCGATGCGCAGCGCGAACCCGCGGGGCACATTCGAATTTCCTCAAAAATGTGTATCTTTTTCTGTAGTAAATAAAGTTATATTTTGTATCACTATCTTAAAATATGCACGCTGCGCGCGTCACTATTTATCCAGCTACTTAGGACGATTTCCAATAAAAAAAAACTTAAAACGATTCTGTTGCTCTATTGTTTGTAAACACGAGTTATTGTGCTTTTCCGTCAAGAAATACTCTGTAGCTACCAGGAGTAAGGAAGCTGGCGGTGTCCCACCCCGGTGCCTCGGAAAACACGTAAACCCGTGGGCGCTGCACCTGATCTCTCTCCGGTCGTGTCGGTTTATGCTCATGACCGAAATTCGGTCTGGAGGACGCATAGCGAAGCCATGTTGCAGTTATATAGTGGTATAGTTGTAGCGCGAATGGGTCGGCTCGACCGGGAAAGGACCACACTATCACAGCATCGCTGCTGTGTTTCGTTTCGTGAGTGTAGAGAAACGGAGACCCTTTTCACTGGAAATAAGGCATTCCATCTTAGTTCTCACGGGTGACAATGCATCTGAATTTTGATTCATAATCGAGGAAAGTGTAAATGTCATGTTAGTCACCCTTATCCTATATAATCTCTTGTCATCTCAATTTTGTAAAAAAATATCTATGTTACTTCAACTTATGTTCTCTCTAATAATCTTTCACTTGTATCTAATTTATTACTCTTTCACACAAAGATTATAAGTAATTTACATTAAAATGTCATATGACAAGATTTGCTAGTTTTATTTAACGAATATGGCCGCGCGTGTTAGAAGTTTGCGTGCTTCTAGTTATTAGGAGCACATGGTCCAAATGGAGGTCGGTGATATTTCTGCTCGGCCAGACTGCGCTTTGATCTGCGAACATGACGTCCTCGTGATGTACATTTAGCAATTAGTTTCCAACGAAATTAAACTGTTATATATTTATTACGATTGATCTGGTTAATGGAATCACAAGACTTTACTTTTTAAACAACAAAAACAAAAGAAAGTTTAAATTAACCCTTTAATTCGTAAAGTTGAGAATACTCAACATTCGAAATAAATAAATCCTGTATGAAAACTTGAACGCGTAGAAAAAAATATTTTTACTTTGAAAAAAAGGTGAAACGAAACGCAACTCGTAAAAAGAAAGTTGTGTGTCACAAACGTCAGATTTTGACAGTGGCGGCAAAATGGCATCACGTTCATCTGCACCGTTTGGACCTAAGGTAAATAAAATTTATTATTAGCAATTTAAATCATATTGATACCTATTATTGCCTTGCATTTCAATTTTAAATTATTATTTTATGCACGTAATGAAAAAAAGCCTGAAAATATTGTGGTTTAGTATGTGTTTGATGGTTTTCAAGTTGAATGTTGAATATACTCAACAATGCGAATGTTACTATTATTCACCTGATTTTTTCTATGTTGAGTATTTTCAACATTGCGAAATGCTTTAGGTTTTGTCCTATAACTTAACATGATGAGTATATTCAACATTGCGCGTGTACTAACATTTATTCCCCTCTTATCTGAGACCCTATTATTGTTCATTTTTCGCTTTGGTTTTGGATGCCCTACGTTTTTTGTGTTATTTTGCTTCAGAAAATGCTTAAATGGCAACGCACGCAAAAAATTATGGCGCTTGTACCTCCCGCAAAAAGCACCCTCCGATGACAGCAGCACATCTGAAGATGAAGTTATAATCAGTAATTACACAAAATCGAAAAAACAACAATCATCTGACTCAGAACACAACTACGAATCATCTGAACCACGTTCTTATCCCTCTGAAATTGATGACTTAAGCTTAGATTCACATTCCGAAGATGAGATTCCTGCGACGCCATCACCTAGGCCACTACAGCTACAAAATGAAAGCAAGTCATACTTACCCAATTCCAAAGAAAATTCTCGTCCGACGACGCCTCCATCGCCAACTCCGCCTCAACAAAATGATTGCAACATACCTGAAGTACCATGTTCTGAAGTCCAAACTCCGATTTCGTCTGCGTCGATGCCACAAGATATAATGAATGATTCCATACTCCACATACCAACAATTCCCTTGTCTCCTTTAATTAACCAAATGTTTTCACCAGGCCCGTCAAATCAGCCGCTCCCATTCACACTGAATTCGGTCTCATCAGTATTATCACCTAACATGTCTCCAGCAGCACCTAATACACGTTCAAAGCGACGACAGAACACAAAACCTAAACACCCAGCGGCAAAAAAAGTAAAGAAGTTTGTAAGAAAACCTCTATCATTCAAATTCAGAGCAGGAAAACTACAGTACGCAGCTATATTTGAACCACCGAAACACGATTTCTCACCCGATCCACATCATTCAATCTTAGATTATTTCACTGACTTTTTTTCAAATGACATATTCGAATTAATAGTAGAACAGACAAACTTATATTCAGTTCAAACCGATTCGAGATCTATAAATATAACAAACGATGATGTGAAAGATTTCATAGCGATTACACTCATTATGGGGGTAGTGAAAATGCCCTCTTACAGAGATTATTGGAGTCGATTTTTGCGATATCCAGCTGTCGCTGATATCATGCCTTTAAAAAAAGTATGAGAAAATAAGGAAATATTTACATTTCGCCGACAACAGCAACATTAACGACGACCGTTACTACAAAGTTCGACCAATTATTGAAAAAATTAGCCTTAATTGCTTAAAAATGAAGGAGGAACAACGCTACAGCGTCGACGAAATGATGGTCCCATACAAAGGGACAAGAGCGGGAAGTAGGCGCCAATATCTACCTAAAAAACCAAAAAAATGGGGGATGAAGTTATTCGTTCGAGCAGGCGTCTCTGGTTTAGTGTATGATTTCATTCCTTATGGTGGAGAAGACACGTTTAGAAATCATTCTTTTACTGAATACGAGGAGAGCCTCGGTCTTGGAGCAAAAGTTGTGCTAGCACTTTGCAAGACCATTGAGGATAAACCTGCAGTCGTATATTTTGACAATTTCTTTACGTCATTGGAGCTAATTCACCATTTGCGTCAAGAATACGGTATTTTTAGTCTTGGTACCATAAAAAGTAATCGTTTGAGAGGTTGTCAAAATAAACTACTAGCAGATAAAGTTCTCGCAAAAAAAGGACGGGGTGCAAGCTCCCAGATCGTCTGCAATGACACGAAACTTGCTGTTGTCAGATGGTATGACAATAAGCCGGTGACATTGGCTAGTTCATTCGTCGATTCCCATCCAATGGGAAAAATTCAAAGGTATTCCAAAGATACAGAATCTAGGGTGGAGGTCAATTGTCCTCAGATTGTGAAGCAATATAATGCCCATATGGGGGGCGTAGACTTGGCGGACATGCTTATCGCTCTATACCGTTCAAACTTTAAAACTAAGAGGTGGTACATGACCATGTTTTCACAATCTCTGGATATTTGCGTCAACAATGCTTGGTTATTACATAGGAGAGATCATGCTGATCCTAAAGACCGTTTACCTCTCAAAAAATTTCGGATACAGATAGTATCTGAGCTTTTACATAAAAACAGAACGAGGGTGACAGTGAGTCAGGAAAACGATCCTCCTAAAAAAGTAATTACTCCAGCTGCTCCAAGACCGACTGATGCTGTACGATATGACAACAATGGACATTTACCCATGTTTGTGTCGTATGGACGGTGCAAATACTGTAAAAATGGGTACACAAATATTACTTGCTCAAAATGTATCCTCAGGCTGTGTCTAGTTAGTAAGAGAAACTGTTTTTATAATTACCATGTTAAGTAATAATATGTGAATTTGATTTTTTCTACTAAGGCTGTGTCTAGCCAACTTATTCTATGATTAATTAATAAGAAATAAAACTTTATTTGATTTTCTCTATAGTTTGTTCTTTTATTTTAATATATTAGTAAACTACCTTTACAAGGGCAATGTTGAAAATACTCAACGCTCAATTTATTAGGTAATGTTCCAATATGTCGCGCAATGTTGAGTATTTTTAACATACGATATTTGATAAAGTATACAATAATAATAATAATTTCTATTTTTTTTTGGCTATAATTAGTCAACATTAATGCAATTAAACAGAAAAAAACATGTTTACATAACTTTTATTTTTCTGCGCATTAAAGGGTTAATGAATTAGTTTTTGAATAAACATAAAATATTACGTGAATGCTGGAATTTTAATAACTGTGACTCCTTTACTAATAATGAATATAAATCACCTTGACTAAATAAAATATGCCTATACAACTATTGGAATCATTATATTTTTAGTGTCTAAATACTATAAATGATATGGACGGAAGTTGATGGATGTGGAAGTCGATAGATGCATGTGCTTTGAGGCATTCATTGGGGAGGCTTATCTTCATCAGTGGACTTGTAAGAGGCTGGTATGACGATTTGATTATGCGTAAACGGAATTTTAATAGCTGTTGTTTCTGGAATACCTAATTACGAATAGAATTCTCTCCAACTTATTTGTTTAATTATATACAAAGAGAACAATCATGCCACAAGATAATATCTGCCCATCTTACAATAGGCCTTAGTGTAATTAGTGTATCTGATCAAGCAGATGGAATACAATAATTATTTAAACAAAAAAGTACACTAATTACTGTAGAGCTGTGGCACCTCAGAGGTTAGATACTTGCCGTAAATTTACAATACACAGGCAACCCGGATTCGATCCCCTACGGCACCAATTTTGTTAATTGCAATTTAAAAAGAGAGTTTTTCGATAGTCATTACGAATCGTCTCGCACGCAGACTCGACGACTTCCAGCCTCCCGAACAAGCCGGTTTCCGAAAAGGCTTCAGTATTATAGACCACATACATACCCTGCGTCAGATTGCACAGAAGACTGAAGAGTACAATCTGCCACTTTGCCTGGCGTATGTGGACTATGAGAAAGCCTTTGACTCCGTCGAAATTTGGGCGATGCTACAGTCCCTTCAGCGGTGCCAAGTTGACTGTCGGTATATCGAAGTGCTGAAGTGTTTATACAGTAGGGCTACGATAGCTATCCGAGTACAGAATCAGAGCTCGAAACCTATCCAACTGCAGAGAGGTGTAAGACAGGGTGACGTTATATCCCCGAAACTCTTCACCGCTGCACTGGAAGACTTTTCAAGCTACTGGACTGGAAAGGATACGGTATTAACATCAATGGCGAGTACATCACTTACCTTCGATTTGCCGACGATATAGTCCTTATGGCAGAATCGCTGGAGGACTTAAGCACTATGCTCAATGACCTCAATAGTGCCTCCCAACGGATAGGTCTTAAGATAAACATGGACAAAACAAAGATTATGTTTAATGTCTATGTCACACCTATGCCGGTAGTTGTTGGGAGCACTATGCTCGAAGTTGTTGACGAGTACGTTTACCTGGGACAAATATTCCGACTAGGTAAGTCCAACTTCGACCCAGAGGTCAATCGACGGATTCAACTCGGCTGGGCAGCGTTCGGGAAATTACGACATATCTTCTCGTCAGGTATACCTCAATCTCTAAAAACTAGATTGTACAACCAGTGCGTGTTGCCAGTGATGACTTACGGATCTGAGACGTGGTCCTTCACTGCTGGCCGTATGAGGGCGCTCAAGGTCGCTCAGCGAGCTATGGAGAGGGCTATGCTCTGAGTTTCTCTGCGTGATAGACTCAGAATTGAGGATATTCGCAGTAAAACCAGATTGAGCGACATAGCCCAACGGATTAGTAAGCTGAAGTGGCAATGGGCCGACCATATAGCTCGAAGAACCGATAACCGATGGGGAAGAAAGGTTCTCGCGTGGCAGCCTTGTTCCGGTAGGCGTAGTGTAGGGTGACCCCCCACTAGATGGAGTGACCACCTGGTCAGATATGCAGGAAGTCGATGGATGCAGGTGGCTCAGGACCGTGCTTTGTGGCATTACTTGGGGGAGGCCTATGTTCAGCAGTGGACTTGTGAAGGGCTGTAATGATGATGATGATGATGATGAATTTAAAAAGCTGTTTTATAACGTGCACACGGTGAGGAAAAATACCGTGAAGAAGCCTGCTTGTCTCAAGATCATAGTAATTCCCACTTCTGAAGGTTGGTGCTGGCGAACTACATGTATCTGTACCCAGCATTGGGACAAAATTAGATTGTAACTTTACATCAGTCTAAGGTTATGTATTTATAAAGAACTGTTTTTATGCAAGTATCTATAAGTGACAAACGAGCACACAGTCCACCTGCTGGTAGGTTGACTCCAGTAGTCCGTGAACGCGTTCATATTTCCTCGATGGAGTATCAAAATACCGGATCTTTGTCAATTATGAGGACTAACAACGATGAATGCCATTGACCAGTGAAAAAAGCCTCCGGTTCTCTTTAGTCATTATACGAAACAGAACCCTTATGCTGTTCTTTTATGCTTTTAATCGCTATCACCACAACCAACAAATAAGTTTATAAAAATTTACCGTGGACAACTACTGTCGTTGTGACGTAGCTTAGTGACCTTTCACCATCATCATCGCCATCACAAAAGCCAACTGCATTTATCGACTTCCTACATGCCTTACCAAGTCGTACTACTATTCGACTACTGTACACTATTTTCTCCAATTTACTTTAGACCCCACCTGCTCCATTCAGCTGTTTACTGATCCGTTACGCTTCGTCAAGAAAAGGCGGTTTACAATAAATGTTCAACTCGTAACGTAAACAAGTTATAGAGTTTTTCAAAAACCTTGATAATCAAGTTGTTTTTACCGACTTCAAAAAGGAGGAGGTATTGAATTCTATTGTATGTTTTTTTATGTATGTTTTATCAGAACTTTTCTCCGGATGAACCGATTTTGATGATTCTTTTTTATCTGAAAGCTGGTACTTCTCGTGTGATCATATATAAATTTAATAAATCTGAATCTGACTAGTAGTTTTTGAGTTATCTTTAATAATGCATATTTAATTGACTTCGAATACAACAATATTCTCATTTGAATTATATTGAAGTACAAAATTATTAATCTTACCACCAGTTTGAATAAATAATAGTAGTATTATATTTATCTAATATTCCCCTTTCCCCCAGAAATAAGCGTCATGCTTGTGTAAGACTTGTTGTCCCCGATAAAGACCTTACAACCTTTCAAATTGTAGTGTCCACCACAAGGGGTGGCCTTAACCATTGAGCTATTGAGTCCTAATGGCTCAGTGATATGATTTAATATTACAGGTTGAGGATGTTGAGTGCCGCATCATTAACATATTATATGAACAATATTCAAGGCGAGTCTATGATGAAGTCATATTTAACAACTGCGAAGTTAAATCAGACATGAAATGTCTGTACGATAGTAGAATCGGTCTATACTATCTTTTAACAGAATTGTGAAGCTGTAAATCTTCATACAAAAAGCGATAACGTTTTCCCACCAGTAAACATAGTCTAATTTTCATAATTTTTGAAAATGTTGTAGATATAACAAAAAACTGGGTCCGTACGTTTTAGTTTTAAAGAAATATTATGTATGTTTTGACTTAAAAACTTCCTCGAGCGTTTTTATTTTTCTTAATTAAACTAAACTGATTTACTAAAAAAACGTACAGAC